GTGGGGGTTCCCCTGGCGGCCGGGGTGGGGGTGGGGGTGGGGTGGGCGGCAGCGGCGGCTCAGAGGAACCCACCTGAACTTGTGCCGGATGCGCTGCAGCTCTTGGTAGGACAGGCCCAGGTGCAGGGCCACGGCCGGCCAGTCAGGGCCCAGGCGCCCGGCCACGTTCAGCAGATTGCTCTGGGTCAGGAAGCCGGTCTCGGCGTCGCCCAGGTTCAGAGGTGCCAGGGAGAGACCAGCCCCTCTCCCCAGCCCTGGCCCCTCAGAGCCCCGCAGCCTCTGTGGGGAGGGACGGGTCTGCTGAGAGCCCTGGCCTCTGCCGCTGCCCCGTCGCACACACCGCCACCCCCGCAGGCCCGCACCGGCAGCTTGATGGGCAGAGTGGCCATCCACAGGGCGTCTGCGCCTCTCCTCTGCCGGGCAGCCTCTGCCTCTTCAGGTACCTCCTCGGGCACCGGTCCCCGATAGAAGGACACCTGGAGCAGGATGAGAAGGGCTTCAAGGCCCTGCCGCTGCCCAAGCGGCCTGGCGCCCTGGCCCGTTGCCCCACCTGGCCCCTCACGGCCTGCGCCTGCCGGTCCAGGGTGGTGGTGACGTACACCTCCTTCACATTCTTCAGGTGCGAGTAGAAGACGAAGCACACCCTGCCCTCCACGCAGTCTGGGCGGTCTGGGGGCAGGGCAGGTGCTCAGCAGGGAGCCTGGGGCAGACCCCAGGTCCCCGCTCCAGGGACAGGGGCATACCGGCATCCACGTCCAGGCCCCTCTCAAAGGCAGCAAAGAACTTCTCGCCCTCAAACATCTCCACCGTGTCGGAGGGCTCGGGGCCGTGGTACCGCTCCAGCAGCCGCCGCAGGGTGGCGTCCACCTGGGGGCAACCCTGGGCTCAGAGCCCAGCGCCGGGCACCCCCACTCTGCTGCCCCCGCCCCGGCCCCCCGGCCCGGGCCGCACCTTGTGGCGGGGCAGGCACTGCAGCAGGACCTGCTCAGGGTCCCGCCGCCTCTGCAGTGCGATGAGGTTCACGTGGTGCAGCCGCAGCCGTGCCCAGGCCTTCCGGGCCAGGTCCCCTACGCAGGTCTTGGTGGTGTACCAGAGCCAGTACCTGGGAGGGCTGGGGTGAGCTGGGGCTGCACACATGGGGTGGGCGGGGAGGGGACCGAAGGAGCTGGAGGGGACACTGACCAGGAGAAGTGCATGACCTGGAAGCGAGCATACAGGTGGGTGAGCTCCAGTGCCACCTCAGCTGTGATGTCATCCCAGGTGGCTGTGGGAGGGGCCTGGTACAGCAGGTGCAGGTGGGAGCGGTCCAGACTGAGGCCTGGAGACAGGAGGGGGCCACAGGCTGAGCCCCCAATGGCAGGGGCTCCCCTTCTGAGCACTGCCCCCTTCCCATGGCCACAGGTCCAGCCCTGCCACGTGGCCACCTCTCACCTGTGATGCCAGGGGGCAGAGGCAGCTGCACAGTGACTGGCCGGAGGAAGCCAGAGGGGCCACTCTGGGACAGGCAGAGCAGGGGGCTCACGGCCGCCGCAGGCTCCCCCAGCAGGCCCTGCAGCTCTCTGTCTGCCACGTGCACCACCTGGAGCAGACAGGCCACCTGAACACTCACTTGTGCCGAGGCGCCACCAGCCACCCTTGGCGGCTGCCCTGCTAGTACCTGCATGCGGACGTGACAAGGCTCCTCGGTGGCTCCCGGGGGAAATGTGACCTTGATCCCAGGATTCCCCGAGGAGAACAGCAATGTCCCCTCTGGTGGCACCAGGCAGGCGTTGGACACAGGGCGTGAAACCACAAGGAACCACGAGAAGTGTGGTACCTGGCAGTGAGCCCAGAGCCGCTGGGCACGGGGGACAGGGTCAGAGGGCACAGTGTCAGGCAGGGCCACCCCCGGTGCTCCTTCTCAGGCAGGCCCGGACGACGGCCCTCACCTTAGGGGCCTCTTCTTCCAGGTGGGTCTCCAGGTCACTCCAGCTGTCATCACTCAGGGTCCTGACCACCACCTCACGGCAGCGCCGGACCCTTGGGGGCACAAACAGCAGCCACAGGCCCACCTCCTGCCAGGCAAGGGTGGTGTGAGCACGGGGGCTGTGCCTGGGCCCTCCTCGCCCGCCTCTCAACATGTCCTGGCCGTGCCTGCTGGAAGGACGCCCCATGGGGCTGCAGCTCCAGGACACCACTGAGCAAGGAGTCATGGGGACCCAGGGGGACGAGACGCGGTTCCGGCAGCCACAGTCGATAGTGGATGATGACGGAGGTAGCAGTGGCACCAGCGGGGAATTGCAGGCGGACACCACAGGCCAGTGTCACAGAGCAGCCTTGGGGAGTCACGGGGAAACTGAGTGAGGAAGCACAGGGCGGGCGTCGGGTCAGGCGCAGAGGGGCTTGCCTGTGTGTCTGAGCTCGGCACCCTGGGGACTCTGGGAGAAGACCCCCAGGCATGGTGTGGATAACTGCTCCTACAGCCCCACCCCTCCCCCACCCCACACCTGTCAAAATCTGAGGTCAGGAACAGTCTGGGCATTTCCGGAACCACGGGTGTCCCTGTGGGAGGACAGACAGGTTGTAAGGACAGTCATGGTACCTGTGTCCTGCTCATGGTCCGCCCCTCCCCAACAACAAGCCTACCAGGGGCACTGCAGGAGTCCGGCAGGGCCTTGCCTAGGGGGTTCCCCTGCAGCCGCACAAAGGGGGCGTCTCGCAGCTCAGGGGGCACGTCCCGGAGCTGATTGTCCCTCAGGTCCAGCCGAGTGAGCAGCGGGAGGTGGCCCAGGCCGGCGGGCACCGAGGCCAGAAGGTTGCTGTGCAGAATGAGGAGCCGCAAGGAACGCAGCCCCGCTGTGGGCAGGCGCCAGCTTAGGGCCAGCAGGGGGCCACTCAAGGCCACCTCTGGCCCTGGAGAATCAGGCCAGGTGGGACGTTCATGCTAGGGCCTCCCCAGAAGCCCTTGCGGTCATGCCCCATGGCCAGCACGGCACTCAGGCCAGCCGGTACAGGGACCCTGGAAGGCCAGGGAGGGGTAAGGCACAAAGGCAGGCCAGGCCTGTGTGTGCGGGGCCCACATGAGAGTGGAGGCCAGGCCGTGGCCGAGGCGCCCTCCCAGCAGGCCCCGTGAGCCAAGCAGGGCACAGCCGGCACTCACCGAGGGAAGCCGGGAGGCTCCGCAGCTGGTTGGAGGCCAGGCTGAGCTCGGCAAGGCTGCTCAGGCCTCCGATCTCGGGGGGCAGCGTGTCTAGGAGGTTCTCAGAGAGATCGAGGTGCTGCAGAGTTGACAGGGTCCCCAGTGCCGTGGGCAGCGTTTGCAGGCGGTTGTGGGTCACAGCAAGGAAAGTGAGGGCGGGGAGGGCCCCCAGCGCCTCGGGCAGCTCTGAGAGGCGGTTGCGAGACAGCAGGAGAGCACCCAGGCCACGCATCTGCGGGACGCAGTCCGGCAGTGTCTCCAGGCTGTTGAAGCTGAGATCCAGGTGGACCAAGCGGGCCAGGCCACCCAGGCTGGACGGCAGCGTGGTCAGGGAGCCCGGGAGGCAGGCACCCAGCGCATCCCGGCACTGCCCGCCTGGGAGAGGGAGGGCAGATGTGGCCCTCAGTCCAGGTCCCAGTGTGGCCCTGCCAGCAGGGGAAGGAGCTGCATGCAGGGAGGCACAGACCTCCTGTCCGACCCCACCCGACAGGGACAGACAGCTGCAGAGACTGGAGTGATACCAGCATATAGAGGACGGCAAGGACTGAGACCGCAGGCTCCCCTCGGCTGAGAGCCATCACCCACGACCCAGGAAGAAGACGCACACCGGGGTCAGCTGCAGGGTCCAGGAGCCAGGGCTCAGCCAGTGTCACACTGGGGGAGGAGGGCTGGGTAGGGAGTAGCGATGGGGGCTGGACCAGGGTTTGCCTTCAGAGACCAAGAAGCAGAGGCAAGAGCTAGAGATGGGTCTGGGACAGGGCTGGGACCAGACGGGGCTCACCTTTGAGGACCAGGGAGCGGAGGTGTGGCAGGCTCCGCGGCACCCGGGCCAGGGTGGCCTCCAGGAGTTGAGGGTCCTCGTGGCCACTCAGCTGCAAGAACTCCACCTCCAGCAGCTGAGGGTGCTGCTGGGCACACAGGTGCCGCAGCCAGCGGCAGCCCTCTGGGTACAGGTCCAGACTCAGCCGGTTCCCGGCCAGGAGAGGAGGCACCCTGGGCCCGGCATCCACAGCATCTGTGGCGTCTCTCGCATCTCCTGCACCAGCTGCCTGGGGCTCCGGCCCCTCCTCTACTGCGGCCATCGCCCACCAGCAGTCCTCGAGGGCCACACATGTCCCAGCTTGTCGGGCAGGCCTGTTCAGGCAGGGCCCAGGGAGGCTGCAGAGTGGGGTGAGGAACGGGCAGGAGTGGGGAGCAGGAACTCTGGCTAGAGGGAGCCTTTGGGCCGTGCCAGCGGGTCCACACATCCCAGGGTCTAGGCTGGACAGATCACTGCCCAAATGGGGCTGGAGAATGGGCCGCAGGCTGGGCAAGCCCTGTGTGCAGAGGGGCCTGGGAACCTGCCTGGGGGATCAGGGGGAAGGGAGACTGAGCATCCTAATTCTGGAAATTTGGACAAGGGATGCCTGGAGCTGTCAGGCCATCTGGCTGTGGCCCCTCCTCCCAGGAGAGTCCCCGGTCCAACCCCTTTGACAGGACGTCCGGACTCTCACCTACCGCAAGAGGGCGGTGGCCCAGGCCCTGGAGGATAGTGCCCAATATGTTAGAGAAGTGAGTGTGAGGAAGGGGATCTGGGGTCTGAGCCACTGGGCGGCTTTGGGATTCTGGGGACTGGACTCCACTTCTCGACCCCTGGAGGAGGGCTCTTCCACAGCCTCCAGTTCATACCTCGGTCGGCAGGGGAGGGCGGTGCGCCCCGCATTCGGGGCTCGCGCGGCCTGGGGACCGGTCTCCGTCCGGGGAGCGCGCCGTCCCTACACCCCGCCGTCCCTACGGCCCCTGCAGCCGGGGCGTACCTGCGCTCCAGGGCGGCACAGCCCCTGATGCCGGCTCCACGCGCACTGCGCGCCCGGGTTCCCGCCGGCGCGTTTCCGGGCGGGCTGGGACTCGGCACCGCCCCCTCTGGGCCCCGCCCCATCAGAAAGCGCCGGTTGCTGCCGGCTGGGGTCCGCGGGCGGAGACCTCAAGGTCCCTCCCCGCCCCGCCCACCTTCTGCCGGCCTGCAGCCTTAGAGACGCGGACGCCAACCCCATCTGCCCGGCCGCAAGCCCCGGCTTCCTCTTAGCCCGTCTCCGTCGGTGCCGGCCAGGCTCCCCCACAGTAAAGACCCGCGGTGCGCGCCACGAAACCCGCCCTTCCAGAGGTCTCGGCCCCCAGAGCTGCTCTGCTCTTTGGCTGTGCTTTCCCAGGCCTTTGTTAAAATGAGCTGGTGCAGTCTCTGGGCAGAGGGGACTTTTGGGGGTTGGTCGCAGCTGCTGCCTCACATCCACCCGCTATCAGAAGCCAGAGCTCTGAGAGTGTCCTTGCCCTGCCAGCCCCGCTGTGCTCTCAGGCCCTGCAAAGGCAAGACCCCAGCTCCGATGAGCCTCCCCCACGAGCACTCGTTCTGGGCTAGGCTGGCAGTACTGCCCACATGCTGCCTCCTTCAGCCTTTGTCTGCATCTCATACTGGAAGGAGAAGAGGCTGGAAGGGATCGGTTTGCCCAAGGCTGGTAGCCAGTGAGTGCAAAGCCAAGAACCTCCCACCAGGTCTGTCTGGCTTTCAAGAGAGCCTCCCCTGCCTGTGCTCTCACCCTGCAGAGCAGATGCCCTGTAAAGGAACAGATGAACACATCCTAGGTCGGCCAGTCCTGGCCTACATCACATAGTCTGCACCCTCCTTCCTCCACCTCCACTCTGGTGCCCCGCCAAACACCAGAAGGGGCAGCCCCTGCCCCCACCATTCAGTTTTTCCATGGCTGTCAGAAGACTCTTATAAACCAATCAGGAATATTGCTCAGCCTTAAAAACGAATGAAATTCTGACCCATGCTACAACACGTATGAACCTGGAGGACATTATGCTGAGTGAAATAAACCAGACACAAAAGGACAAATACTGTCTGATTTTGCTTATATGAAGTCTCTAGAGAAGTTAAAGTCGTAGTGACAGAAAGTACAATAATGGGCCCCAGGAGCTGGGGGAGGTGGAGGCGAGTTATTATTTAATGGGTATGGGGTTTGGTTTGGGAAGACGAAAGAGTTCTGAATACAGATGGTGGTGATGGTTGCACAAGGTGAATGCACCTAATGTCCCTGAACTGTATGATCAAAATGGTAAACTTTATGTATGTTTCCACTTTAAAAAAAGTCACATTATGCTACTTCCCTATTGAAGTAATGAAGTTCCATCCTTACCAGGATGGTTTCCCCACTCTACCCCAGCTGTGTGACCTCGAGCAGGAAAACCATAATATGGGAGTAATGTCAGGACAGTGACTGTGTGGTCGGCGTTAACACACCATTGCTCCCTGTACTACACTCGATGGCCCACTTTGTTGCACGAGTCCCCTGTGGGCTTGCTGACGCCTCGGGACCGATCTTCCGCCACCTCGGGCCTTAGCACCCGACCCCTCTGCTTGGTGCTTGCCCCAGAGCTTCGCATGCCGGGCTCATCTTTCAGCTCAATGTCACTGCCTCATTCTTTCAGGGTCTGTCAGCCTGGCACTGCTTCGTGTAGCTGCGCTAGAACCTAAGTTGGGCGGAAGCAGGGCCGGGTCTATTCCTTCTCAGGATGTAGGCCTGCAGCAGGGTCCCTGACACGGAAAATATGTGCTGATGTCCGCGGGCACCGTGCGGTCAGTTTCGAGCCCACACGTCCAGGGCACCGCAGGGGAGGAGCCACTAGGCCCAGGCAGTTCGGTTCCGCGGCGTGAGCGCGACAAGCGGCTCATTCAGTTCACCGGGTCCCGCTGGGAACTGGCGCCACCGACCGCACCGGACCTAGGTCCCTGCAGCTAGGACCCGCTCGAGAGCCGGAAGCGCAACCGCCGAAGCTGCGGGACCTTCGCGGAGCCCACGTGCAGCCCGCGCAGGCGTCGGTGTATCGCGCTTCCGGAAGCCGTGCACTATGGGACTAGTAGTTCGCCGGCTGCGTCGGCCGCTTCCCCAAAGGGACGCATCCCGTGCGTGGCGGCCGCGCTGCATGTTGGGAGCTGTAGGCCCCGCGTGGCATACAGGGAGCCCTGTAGGGAGCACTTCACTTCCGGCACCTGCCACGCTTTGCCCCGCCGCTGCATGAATTCCGGGGACGCTGGCCCCACACTATACAAGAAGGCGACCCAGGACTGGCCTTCGGCTTTGCTGTGACGGCTGTGTGACTGGATAGGATGATAGCTTCTCCCGCGTCCTTATTGACCGAGCACCTCCTGACGTCACTCGGAGGCGCCCTCACGGCGCACGGCGCGCGACTCCCGGAGGCTTCTGGGTAGCGGATTAACCCCGCCCCTCGCGCCGGCGCTTTCCTTTTCCTTCCTGACGCCGCTGAGGTCGCACGCGCGAGGCCTCTCCGCAGCTGCTGAGTGAGTGGGGCGGTTGGGCTAGGCTGCGGGCCGGGCAGGGGCCCTAGCGGGCAGGCGGGGCGCAGGGCAGGGCCCGGGCCGGGCCTCGATGGGGACCCCAGGGCCGGGCCAGGCGCGGCCACGCTCGGGCCAGGGTGGGGGCGAGAGGCCTCTGGATAACGCCATGGTCCTCTTTTCCGGCCTCAGGATGCGTTACGTTGCCTCGTACCTGCTGGCAGCCCTCGGGGGCAATGCCTCCCCCAGCGCCAAGGACATCAAGAAGATTCTAGACAGCGTGGGCATCGAGGCGGACGACGACCGGCTCAACAAGGTAGCCGCCTGGGTGACACCGGCGACCCGATACTTTGCACGTAGTGCCTCCTCCTACCCGACGCCAGTTTTTCGTTTGGGAAAGTGGTTTGGGGAGGCCTGTGCCAGCTCTCGTGGTTATTTATCGGGTCGCTGCTTCGGGGCCCTGAGAGAGCCTCAGAGCAATAGCGAGAGTGAGGCACGCCCCGACCAGCATGGTTCAGTAGAAGCACAGTGGAAGTCTCGTATTTTAAAATGATTTCGTAACTTTTTTTCCTGAAAAACGTAGAAGAGAAAGTATTTGAAAGCTGGTCCATTTCATCGAATTTACTCAAGATGTTATTTTGACGGGTAGTAAGCCTGGACATTTTGCGTTCTTGGTAGCTTTAAAATGTGGTCCACGCTCCCCTTTGCAGCAAGTCTCAGTTCAGAGAATCCACCCGTGGGTAGTCACCGGTGTGCCGGGCGTCAGCCTAGAAGCTTCGGAGCGCTGGCTCACCGCGTGCTTCGGAGGCCACCCCTGCCCTGGCTCGAGAGGTGAAGTCCGTGGACTCGGCAGGGTCTCTGGTAACTGCTGGTTGTGGTTTTTCATTCTAGGTTATCAGTGAGCTGAGCGGAAAAAATATCGAAGACGTCATCGCCCAGGGTGAGGTTGTGACGAGCACTTTGCTTCTGCGGTCCATCCTAATTCCTGCCGGTCAGCTGTGGCCTGCCAGGTTTCGCTTGTGGACCAGAGCACCTTAGAAGCCTTTCCCCAAGCACAGCATTTGTGGGCTTGTGCCAGGGCGCTTCTAGACATCGGAGACGCTAGAGGGCGCCCGTGGGCTCCCGGGCCTGGATGCCCCGCCTGCAGTGTCTGGGCAACTGGGCCTTTGTAAACAGGCCTCACCCGTGTGCCCTCCGTGAGGGGGTTGGGAGCAGAGGCGGGTGTCAGGGATGACCGCAGGCCTTCCTCCCCCCTTTGCTGGGCAGATCGTTTTCTGGTGACGACAGGCTGGCGTTGATGGGACTTGTTTGGAAGTTGAGCTGTTAGGGCAGTCGTTCCTGTCCGTAGGCATGTGACAGACAAGGGACAAAGCCAGCCCAGTCTTTTGAGGTCATTGCTGGAGATGAATATCTCGACACTGGGGCAGCAGACTCGGTTCTTGCCTGGTTATAAACATGTTTGTCCAATTTGACCCTAGGCTAGGACGCTCTTATGATGACGCTTTTATGTCATCAGCCAGCTTCTTATGGACTGATTTCTGGAAGCTAGGTTCCCAAATAGGAAGTTGTGGAGGAGGGCTGTGTGGCAGAGCCTGGGAGATGAGTAAGCACCGTGGCCTAAGTCCACCCATGAGCCACTTGGGAGAACAGGGTGGCTGATGACATTGGCACTGGGTGACAGGCCCAGTATATGGGGCAGACTGTCTCTTCCCTTCCCTGAAGTATCCTAGAGGCTGAGCAGCTCTGGTCTCAACCCCCTTCTCTGGTGTCTGTAGGGATTGGCAAGCTGGCCCGTGTCCCTGCCGGTGGGGCTGTAGCCGTCACTGCGGCCCCAGGATCTGCGGCTCCTGCTGCTGGTTCTGCCCCGGCTGCAGGTAAGTGGAGGCTCAGGCAGCTGTCGCTGCGATGCGCTGGGGTCTGGGCACCTGGCCTGCAGTGCGGACCGTGCTCACCATGGCCTTTGTTCCCCACAGCAGAGGAGAAGAAGGACGAGAAGAAGGAGGAGTCGGAGGAGTCGGATGATGACATGGGATTTGGCCTGTTTGATTAGTGTCCTGCTCCCGTGAATAAAGCCCTTTTTACAGATCTCTGAGTGGCCCAGTCTCCTATAGGCAGAGGTGGGGCTCCCAGGGAGGAGGAGCTACTGCCCGAAGAGCCGGGGGGTAACAATGCAGGGATCTGGTGCAGAGTAAGCACCTGGGATGGGGGATACTCCTGTGGGTCTTGGGTGTTGCCAAGCCTCGCGCGGGGTCAAGGAGGGTCACGAACCCCCTTCTGGGCATGGTCCTGGCTCCTGAGAGCTGCCAAGGCTTCTCAGGAAGTGAAGCCCTCGGGGACACTCGTGAAAGCTTCCAAAGCAGCACTGGGTGGTCTGCACTGCTCTGGGAGGTAGCCCAGTGGGCCAAGGCCAGCAGCCCTCTCAAGACTGGTGGGGTTCCTGTTACACAAGAGGCGCGGCGGGTGTGTGGTTCTTTAGGTTCCCCTGCGGCAGTCGGGGCCGGGCTCCCGACAGTGCCCCCAGCTCCACTTCAACCCCCAGGCAGCTTGGGTGCGCCCTCACCCGAGCCTCATTGACCCGGTTGTCTGACGCGCCTTTACCTGCTGTGCCGAGCAGGTGTGGAAGTGGTTCGTGGCTGGGCTTAGGCCACGGCGCTTGCTCAAGTCTTAGGGTGGGCCTGCCCATGTCCCGCTCATCAGGCTCTGGCCTGGATGTGGGCCAGAGGGCAGAGGGCCTGCCTTTGCCCACGCGGGTGCCATCCTGGCCTTGCAACTGTAGTCCTCTGGGCCTTCAGCCTCGGCCAGGCCACTTAGTAGACCCCTGCTCCCCGCCAAAGCCTCTGCGTCCACACCTGGTCTGGGGGTGTGGTGTGTGCAGGGCCCGCCCTGTGGGCTGGTGTTCAGTGTCAGTACAGCAGCGGGGGGCCCCAGGGAAGGAGTGATTATGGCCTATGAGGGAAGGGCAGGGCCCCTCTGGTTACCCGGAAGAACAGGAAGCAGGGGACCTGGGCTGTGGGGGAGGACGTAGACACCCTGCTCTGGGTGGGCGGGACACAGGGTCAAGATAAGTGAGGATCACTGTAGGGGTCCTGGCAGCATGTAGTGCAGGGGCAACGTGGGGTGGGGTGACTGGTGGTGGCCCTGGGCTAGGGTAGAGGGCCCCTCAGAGTAGTAACCCTGAGTCCAAGGGCCCTGTGTGGGCCAAAGGACACCATGGGAGTGGGGGCAGGGCACTGGCCTGGCAGACTCAGACACCTCGGTTCTCTGGGCCCAGCCAGGATTCCAGGAAGAGCTGTCCTGTTCTGGCTCCAGAGCTGACAGTCCCAGAGGCTTGGAGGGAGGCTGTGTACCCAAAACAGTTCAGCCCTGGTGTGGAAATGGGGGCAGAGTTCTCCCCGCAGTGGGGCAGCCTCACCCCCGAGGCCCCACGGCCCTTTGGAGGCAGGGAGGGCGGGTGCTCCAGCCTCTCCCTGGAGTGGGTCAGGAGTGAACCTTCTGAGGTCCGTGGCTCAGCCTGCACTGCTCAGCTCCCCTCTTTCTGTTCGCCCTAGTGAACCCCTGGACTTTCCAGGCCTGCCTTGGGGTTCTGCCCCATCCGCACTGGGTCACACTTTACACTCCTGCGGCCTCCATCAGCACCCCCCACGGCGTGGTCACTCAGGGTGATCATGCCGATGGGGCCACACCCTCAGCACTGTACCTCCATCCAAGGCATTCGGAGCGTGGGGTCCCATGTGTTGTGCAGAGAGAACAAGTCTTTAAGTCAAATTCCATGAGAGCCCCCGCCATCCCGCCCTCCCTCTCCCAGTGCCTGGGCTCTGGGTCCCCTCTCCTCAGCCCCCCACCCATGGCCTTCACACATGTTGTTGGGTGGCCCAGGAGACCTGTACCCTTTCTGAGATAACTGCACCTGCACACCCCATCACCTGTTTTATCCTCATTTTGACCTTATGTTAACATCTGCCACCACCACCCCTAATAGGACTGGGGCCGGTTGACTTTGCTCACTGCTCTGTCCTGTGCTGGCCCCCATGCTAGGCACATCGTCAGTGCCAAGTATGGTACCTGACAGCACAGAGGCTGAGGACTGGACAGCATGACCCTAGACGGCCGTGTCTCCGGGAGGCTGTGCTCTGGCTCTGCCTCTAGCTGAGTCCTGAGCTGAGCTCCTGCCTGGGGAGTGAGTGCTCCTGAGAACACAGCACACTGCCTCCCACTGCCCAAGCATAGACCAGCCCCAGGTTGGGGGCTGGGGTAGGGTGCAGGGGGCTGGGGCCTGGCTGGCTACTGGATACGAGCCAAGCTAGGCCCTGCTCCACAGACAGTCCCAGGGAAAAATGCGGAACAGGGTGGTGGCATCACTGGGAGTGCTCCACCTGCTGGGGCAGTCAGCCTGGGCTGGGCAGGGCCCTCGTCTCACCCAAGGAGAACCCACGGCCTGAGGAGACTGGGGGAGACGCAGGTAGAACCCAGGTTAGTGCCCAGGTGCGGAGGGGCTGCGGGTGGTGAAGGGAAGGGAGGGGAGTCGGGGAGGGGGGCGGCGTGGACGCCAGGTGTGGTCCGCGGCGCTGGTGTTAGCTCTGGAAGTTGTGTGATTCGCATCCGGCCATGGATGTCTGTGAGTCGGTCTGTGGATGAGTCATGGATCTTGGGGGTCCCCAGCCTGGGGAGCGGGTGTTGTAGGCGGACCCCAGGGAGGGGGTGGTGGCTGCTCAGACACCAAGGCCCTCTCCTCGTGGGTGTCCAGATTTGTACGAGGCTCCCAGGCCCACAGACTCCGGGCGGTCCGGGCCTGAGCTCGCCCCTCCCCACACCTCTAGCCACTGTGTGTCCATTCCCGTCACCCACGATGGGAAGGGAGGGAAGGCGGCAGGAGGCCGGGGACGTGGACGCACCGGTGTCGCGGCTCAAGACCCGCGGACCGGGCCTCCGGGGAGAGGGCTCAGGGCCTAGGTGGGCCTCCAGGGAGGAATTCCTGGGTCGGGGGCGAGCCTCTGGGGAGGGCGGTCTCAGGCCCCAGGTGGGTTTCGGCCTGGGGGCGGGGCTTCGGGGCCTCCCGAGGGTGCGGCCGTTCCCCGCGCGCCCTGATGGGGCCGCGTGTGTAGGTTCCGCCCCGCGTCGATCCCGCCCACTCCCTGAAAACTCCATCTCCGCCACCTCCTAGCGCAGCGTCGCCGCCTCCACTGGCGGTGACTTGGAGTTAGAGCGACCGCTAACCGGCCGGCCAGGCCCAGAGCGAGCGGCGAGCGCGCGGCGCACAGCGAGGCCGGCCGTCGGCGGAGCCCGGGCCGGCAGGCCGCCGCGATGTTCCCCAAGGAGGCGACGTTCCCCCGGGAGACGACGTGGAACATCTCGTTCGCGGGCTGCGGCTTCCTAGGCGTCTACCACATCGGCGTGGCCTCCTGCCTCCGCGAGCACGCGCCCTTCCTGGTGGCCAACGCCACGCACATCTACGGCGCCTCGGCTGGGGCGCTCACGGCCACGGCGCTGGTCACCGGGGCCTGCCTGGGTGAGCGGGGCCGGCGGATGGGGCCTGGCGGGTGTTCGAGAGCGCACAGCGCCCCTCTGTGCCCGGCGCTGGGAAGCCGGCCGGGTCTCGGGTCCAACCCGGCGCCGGCCAGGGGCGGGGCCTGGTTTGTTTTGCTCCGACAGTACCCTGGCCCGGCGCGCTTCCGGGGCCGAGGCTGCCACCCGGGGCCCGCCTCTCGGGAGCAGAGGTTGGGGGCGGGCAGGTGCAGCAGAACTATTTTACTGGAAAGAGAAAGTGACTCGGGGGCGGGACCGGGAAAGCCGGGGGGAGGGGCCTAAGCTGCCCCCTCCTCCCGGGCATTGGACTAGATACTGGCGGTCACTGTGTCCTGCGGCCTGGTATGGGGAGTGGCCTCTGAAGAACAGTCTAGGCCTAAGGGCCCCTGGAGCAGGAGCCTGGCAGATCGGACCAGAGCACAGCAAGCTTTCTCTCACGCAGTTCCTTCTTGTGTACGGCCCACTGCGGGGCTGGGTCCCCAGCTGTGGCCCACTATTTTTGCCCCTTCCATGGGACGCAGGTGTCTCTGGCCTCTCCGGCCCCGTGGTCGGGAGTGCAGGTGTCTGAGTGTGCCAACACAGACTCTGCTCACACACAGGCTTCCGTGGGGGCGCATGAAAGTGGTGTCTGCAGCACAGCGAGTATTTCAGGAGTCCTGGGACTGCGGCCCAGCCCCCAGCCTACTAGGGCAGCCAAGGTGACAGAGGGGTCATCGGTACTCTGCCCAGCAAGAGCCTGTGGAGGGTTGTCCCCTGTCTCTTCAAGGGTGGGGTAGAAGGAGCACAGCTCTACATTCTTGGGACCTGGGGAGGTCTACCACTGTGGCCCTGACCCCTCCCTCTACGGAGTCCTTCTGACCAGTGCTCTCGGTCCCCATGCTTGCCGCAGGACACACCTAGGCCCCTGTGCCCAGTTGAGGACATGGCTCCCACAGCAGCTCCCCACCCCATACCCAAGAATCCTCTTTCTCACTTGTGGTCTTGGGCACCTGGCGCCACACTGCCCACTCCTGACCCAGGCAGTGGTCCTGGGAGAGGGCACAGTCCTCAGCACCTCCCGAAGGCCCTCCTGCCCCTGACCACCCCTGGGCCTGCCTCCATTCTGGCTTTGTCCTAGGTTGGCACCCGCGGCCCTCAAGAGGAGTGTTGGGGGGGTCGCTTGCACTTGGTCTCAGTGGGACACAGTGTTGCTTTCCAGGGGCGGTGGGGGCCCATCATTTCTCGCCTTATGCCACCAGGCCTGTGGGCCCCCTGGGCTGCGCTGGGCTTTGCGGGTCTGGATCTGGCCAAATGGGTGAAGGCTGAAGCTGGTCAGAGTTGCGTCCTTGCCTCCCCACCTCCAGGGCTGGTGCCACCTGAGGCCAAGCCCAGTGACTCATGGGCCAGGGCAAACTGTTGGGAAACACAGGGCAGAGGGCAAGCCCAGCCCCAGCTGGCCAGCCCTCACCGTCTGGCCTCCCAGGAGTAATGGCTTGCCTCTCCCCCCGCAGGGGCAGGAGGCAAAAGTCTCAATTGTGGGCCAAGTCACCTGGTGGATGCAGATTCCTCCCGAGTGGATGGGGTGCCAGGGGCCGTGGGGCCCTGGGCATGGAGCCATGAGGCTGTGCCGGCCCCTGACCCTTGGCCCTGCCGCCCCCAGGTGAGGCTGGTGCCAACATCATCGAGGTGTCTAAGGAGGCCCGGAAGCGGTTCCTGGGCCCGCTGCACCCCTCCTTCAACCTGGTGAAGACCATCCGTGGCTGCCTGCTGAGGACCCTGCCGGCTGACAGCCATGAGCGCGCCAGTGGCCGCCTGGGCATCTCCCTGACCCGTGTGTCGGACGGCGAGAATGTCATTATATCCAACTTCAACTCCAAGGATGAGCTCATCCAGGTGGGCCCTGATGAGGTCGCACCAGGGGTGCAGCTGAACCCAGAGGCCCCTGCTCACTGCCCCTCTCTGTCCCTGCCTGCAGGCCAATGTCTGCAGCACGTTCATCCCTGTGTACTGTGGCCTCATCCCTCCCTCCCTCCAGGGCATCGTAAGTACCCCTTGGGCACCTTTCTTGGGCGCCATGAGTCTGCTACTGTGGGCTGTGGGGGGAGGGGATGGAGGAGGAGGCCGTCTGTGCCCCCCAGCCCCTCACTCCCGCCACCGCCTGTTGCCTCACTGCCCCCAGTTACTCAAGAGCCCGGCCAGCAACGGGCAGTGCACACTTCCTGTGGCCGCCCCGCCCCGTCCCGTCTGGCCGTTTTTCAGGGCACAGGCAGGCCTGTAACCAGTGCCCAGTGGATGGAAACCTCAAGTGGGACTGCCACTGGGTGGGGCTCGAGGTGGCCCAGTAGGGTGGCCAGCTCGCCCCGCAGGCTCCTTGCCCTGTGACTACCTCTGTCCCTGCCACCGCAGCGCTATGTGGATGGTGGCATCTCGGACAACCTGCCGCTCTATGAGCTCAGGAACACCATCACAGTGTCTCCCTTCTCGGGCGAGAGCGACATCTGCCCGCAGGACAGCTCCACCAGTATCCACGAGCTCCGGGTGACCAACACCAGCATCCAGTTCAACCTGCGCAACCTCTACCGCCTCTCCAAGGCCCTGTTTCCACCGGAGCCCATGGTGAGTGCGTGCCGCCAGGCAGCAGCCTGCCAGCCTCGCCTCACTTAGTGCCGGGGGCTGGAGCTGCCCTGCACCCCATCCTGGGTGACCAGGGTGGGGCGGGGATCTGGACTGCCTCTCCCAAGGGCCGGGGAGGAGTGCCGTGGCCTGCGCACCTCGCCCCTGAGGCCAGCCTGTCCAGCCTCTGTACAGCGGGAATCTCGGCCTGGACTGCTTAGCTTAGCGGTGGGGAAAGGCGGGCGTGCAGGGAGGCCAGGACTCTGGGGGCCGGGCAGGGCCTGCCCGAGATGCTGACCCTGTTCACCCCTCCCCCGCCTCAGGTGCTGCGGGAGATGTGCAAGCAGGGCTATAGGGACGGCCTGCGCTTCCTGCGGAGGAACGGTGCGTGGCCGGCCCCAGGGAGGAGTGGGGCTCTGCACCCAGCTCCTGAGCTGACCACCTGTTTGGCTCTTCCCACCTAGGTCTCCTGAACAGGCCCAACCCCCTGCTGGCACTACCCTCTGCCTGCCCCCATGTCGCCGAAGACAAGGACAAAGAGAAGACCGTGGTGGCCGTGGAGAGGGCCCGAGTGGAAGGCCACTTGCAGCGGCCAGAGGAGGACCGCATCCTGGACCATCTGCCTGCGAGGCTCAATGAGGGTGTGTACAGGGGTGGGGCAGTGTGGGCTGGGCTCCACTGTCCCCAGTGCCCCGACAACCCCCTCCTGACCCCCTCCCGCCCCGCCTCCAGCCCTGCTGGAGGCCTGTGTGGAGCCCAAGGACCTGCTGAGCACCCTGTCCAACATGCTGCCAGTGCGCCTAGCCACCGCCATGATGGTGCCCTACACCCTGCCGCTGGAGAGTGCCGTGTCCTTCACCATCCGGTACAGGATGGGGGCGGGAGGCGAGCTCCGGCCCAAACTTAGGGTCATCCTTGAGTGGTGGTCACCTCAGGTTGGGGGTGATGAAGAGAATCCTTGTCAGGGTTCCCAGAAACCAGGGCAGACACAGGGCCAAGGGTGGGGGGTGCACGGGCATGCATTCCAGGCCGCCGCCCGAGGCCATGCCTCCCACCCTGCCCTAGCTTGCTAGAGTGGCTGCCTGACGTCCCAGAGGACATCCGGTGGATGAAGGAGCAGACAGGCAGCATTTGCCAATACCTGGTGATGCGTGCCAAGAGGAAGCTGGGCAGCCACCTGCCCTCCAGGTGAGCCCCGAACCGCGTGCTCACCGGAGCCACAGCTTCACTTTAGAGGCCCGCCCACTAAAGTCTGCCCCCCCTCCGCCCCTCCTTCCTCCCCGGCTTGCAGGCTGTCGGTGGAGATGGAGCTGCGCCGCGCCCGGTCGCTGCCCTCTGTGCCACTGTCCTGCGCTGCCTACAGTGAAGCGCTGCCGGGCTGGATGCGCAACAACCTCTCGCTGAGGGACGCGCTGGCCAAGTGGGAGGAGTGTCAGCGCCAGCTGCTGCTCAGCCTCTTCTGCACCAACGTGGCTTACCCGCCGGATGCCCTGCGCATGCGCAGCCCCGCCTGTCCCTCCCCCGCGCCCCCGCAGCACCCTCCTGGCTTGCCCCCTTGCTGAGTGGCCCTGCTCCTGCCTTCCCAGCCCCCTGGGGTCCCAGTGCTGAGGGCCAGGACCCCAGCTTCCCTGCCCCATGAGGCGGGGCCCTGGGTCCGGCTGAGATCCCCCTCCCTGGTTTCTAGTTCCCCTGTGGAGTGAGGAGATGGGGGCGCCCCCAGCTGGCAGAGGGACTTTGCTGTTAACCCCACCCCCAGCGACTCCCTTGCTGCGCTGAGTAGGCAGGGGTGTGGGACGGAGGGCCCCTCACCTGTGCCTTCATCTTCCCCTCTCAGGCCCCACCCTAGGGCGGGGCGGGGACCCAGGCTGGGGGCCCTCAGCCCGCCGCCCCCGCCGTCAGTGCAGTATTACTCCCGAGAACTTTGCACCTGCCGCTCCCTCTGCGTTTTTCATTTTTTTGCTGAAGAATGTGTGAAGAGTTATTTATTTTCGCCAAAGCACATGGAATAAAGGCCACAGCTCAGCCCCTGCGTCCTCCTTGTATGCGACCCCTTCCCCGGCTGACCCGTGTCTGTCAGCTTCAAGGGTCCCCTCTCCTTGAAGCTGGCATTCGAGCCTGGGGCTGCCCCTGAGGTTCCCTTGGCCTCCTGGGTTGCAGCCCGCTTCTCTACTTTCCCCCACTTTGCTCTGTGGCCTGCTGGCTGACCCTGGGGCACAGCTCTTCAAGAGCCAGGGGAAATATCTGAGACCAAGATTCTTGCTAAATAAAAAACGGAAAAATGTTTACAAAAGGTGGCGTCTGCACGTCCACTCCATGGTGACAGGAGCGCAAGGTTGACTCTCAGGCTGCGGACGGGGAGGTTGCTGGGGGCCAGCTCGGGCCTGCTCCACTTTGGGCATGTGGCCCAAGGCTCTGCATGAGATGCTGGGCCTCCCGGTGTCATGGCAAGCCTCGCTGGCCAGGTGCACACATGCCCTGTCCCCCTGTCCTCCTCTTCACTCACAGGGTACCCAGTCTCCTGCCGGTACATAAGAGGGCCCTGGAGTGTGGGGCAGGGTGAGGTCTGAGCTGAAGGGGGCTGGGCCTTGTTTTGGGAGATGCAAGGTTTCCTGAAAGTGCCCTCTGTTCTGGGCAGTGGGAGGGCATTTGACTAGCTCTCCTTGGTGACCCAAAGGGCCTGGGGTGAGGGTGCCGGAGCAGAGCCAGGCCCACAGCTAGCTGCCCAGAGCACTCGGTCCTGCTCAGCCTGGCCCCACCTGCCTCCTCCCCCAGGCTGGGGCGGCGGTGGTGGCGGTGTGGTAGCGGTGGCAGCCCCCAGCCAACAATAACGGTTGGTGGTGGGACTGCAGGACTGGGCGAGCCGGCTGGGCAGGTCCCTGGAGTGCGTGTGTGCCAGGGGCCACCCCCCTCACAGTCTCAAGGTCCTGTCCTATCAGACCAAC